TGTAACTTTTATACTGGAAAGGATTAACCAGCAAATATTTCTCAAAACTCAAATAATGTAACCACAAAAATTTTAAGCATTATTTGAATAAGAAACCAAAGCTTCTCATGCCAACATAGCGGTCAATACCCTACAGACAAAGAATGAAAGGATTCTTGGATCAGTAAAATTTAATTTTTAGATATTCACCATTGTAATTTTGAGATTATTCATCATACTTCCTACTTGCACTTTTCTTTTTTTATTTTTAAATTTTCATTGAATTTATTGTGGTAACATTGCTTAATAAAATTATATAGTTTTCAAAATACAGTTTTAAAATAAATGACAGCAAACCTTTCAAGAGTTTTGACCAGACTTAATTAGATTTCTACTGGTCTCTGTGCCTGGCCGGCGTGGTGCAGTTTTTGAGCATCAATTTAGGAACCAAGAGGTCATGCGGCCATGGTTTGATTCCTGGTCAGGGCACATGCCTGGGTTAAGGGTTCAATCCCCAGTGGGGCATGCAGTAGGCAACCGATGAATGATTTTCTTTCATCATTGATGTTTCTATCTCTCTCCCTCCTTTCCTCTCTGAAATCAATAAAAAAAGAAATTGTAATAAAAAGTCTCTGACTGTTGTGAAAAAACAGATGTGTATTTGCAGGAGTAGAAATAAGGGAATTCAGCAATAAAAGAAAGAATAGATCAAGTGAGAAATGAGAATATGGCAGAGAAGAAGAGAGTGAGAGAGATATTAGGTGTAGTAATAATTAATGTCGTTTTCTAATACTTTTTTAAAATCTAATTTATTTAAACAATACAACAAAATTTAATCAACAATATAGTTGCCGTTGTTTTCTACTACTTGTGCCCAACGCTCAGGAAGCATATTAATCCCTCTGTGGTAAAATTCTTGTGATTTTGATGCGAAAAATTTGGTCAATGCATTTTTGAGGCATTCTTCATTATTAAATTTTTTTCCAAGAAGAAAGTTTTGCAAAGAACGAAACAAATGGTAATTGGAAGGGGCAATATCAGGAGAATATGCAGGTTGAGGGAGAACTTCCCATTCCAACTGGCACAGTTTTTCAGCAGTGATTCTTGCCGTATGCGGTCGTGCGTTATCGTGGTGAAGAATTACGCCCTTCCGATTAATCAGCGCGGGTTCTTTTTCTCTTAAAGCTTGGGCTAACCTTTCCAATTGGGCACTATACACTGCACTTGTAATGGTTTGGTTAGATGGTAAAAGTTCATAATGAAGAATTCCTTTAAAATTCCACCAAACACACAACATCACTTTTTTCGCATGCAAGTCAGGTTTTGGCGTGGGCTGCGGAGCCTCATTTTTGTGCAACCATTGAGGCCGCCTTTTCAAATTAACATCCAGCACCCATTTTCCATCTCCGGTAACAATTTGCTCTAAAAATGGCAAACGGTTTTGACAAGAGAGGAGCGAACTGCAAATTGTGACTCTTTGATTACGGTTGTTGTCGGTCAACTCATGAGGAACCCATTTTCCAAACTTTTGGACTTTGCCAAGTGCACGCAATTGATTGGAAATTGTTTTTTGTGAACAATTTAAAGTTGTCGCAAGCTCTTGTTGGGTAATTTGAGGATTTTGCACCAAAAGAGCTTGAAGAGCTTCTTGATCAAAATTGGACACACGGCCTCGACCACTCTTGTCATCTAACGAAAAATTTCCCTCGCGAAATTTCTCAAACCAACGCTGGCATTTTCTGGCGCTAACTGCATCTTGACCAAGAGCACTAACAGATGTTTTTTTGCAGCCTCACTTGCTTTTTTTCCTAATTGGAACTCGTAAAGCATGCAGTGCCGAATATGCTCTTCATCCGCCATCTTCTTAGCCCTAGTTTTGCAACAAAAACCAAACCAAACACAAACTTTTTCAAGCAAAACTTGTTAATTGCACTTCACACGTTCTGTATATACCACGTGTTTGACGGTTATGTCAATACAAGTCAACGCCAAGCAAGATTTTAAACGAATGTTAAAAAACGACATTAATTATTACTATACCCGATAGAAACACCGTGATGAGGGAGAATCATTGATCGGCTGCCTCTTGTATGCCCCACACTTGGGATGGAGCCCACCAGCTGGGCATGTGCCATGATAAGGAATTGAACCATGACCTCCTGGTTCATAGATCCACACTCAACCACTGAGCCCACGCCAGCCATGCCCTGCCTCTGGTTTTGCAGTTGTGGCTTCCTGTGACCCAAACGCTACACTACCTCCAACCCCTTGATATATATGACTCATTCCATTACTTTTAACGGGTTATTTTTGTATCATTCTAACTTAGGGAATAGTGCCTTAATCCTACTCCCTTAATCCTTTTTTCTTTATCTCTATAGTTTTGTCACTCTCTGACATTGTACTGCATATTTATCATCATTTTCTCACTGGAATATAAGTTCCATGAACGTAGGGACTTTGCATTGATCACAAGTCAAGTTCCATATATATATATCTGATGTGCTATATCCTTTAGTTAGTCCTGTGGAATGTTAAAAAAGTGATAGAATATCTAAAAATGAAAAGTTAGCCGCCGAATCTCAGGGAAGTAGGACTCTGTGAAGGAAGAAAAGGACGTATAGGCGATTTAACCTTGGTATACTCTACACTACAGAGTGACTGCAGGAGTTTAAACAAGAGGAGGCCCATGGGGTTTCTCATATCTTTTCTCACTGAGCAGCTGGTGTCCACGAATTCCTCACTGAGAAATTTCCTTGCAGCTTTTGGTCAAATTTATACATTAAAACTTGGAGATAAAATTATGGGTATTTACTCAAGCTGTGGTCATTATAAACAAAAATGCAATAGTCAACAACTTTGTAGATAAAGATTTAGCACAAGTACACTCTAAATCAAAGCTCAGCAAAATCCAAATGTAACCACATTGGGTAGGCTGCACTTTAAATCTATAGTGACAGAGGTGTTGTATGTCTCTACCTTAGTCACCTGGATTGTTCCCACCTAGGGACTACACATAGTTAGGATTGTTGCAGTAAAAATAAATAAACAAATAAACAAACAAATAAATAAATAAATAAATAAATAAATAAATAAAATGTACATTGCCTTGGCAAAGTGGCTTGTTGGTTGAAGCATCATCCCATGTATCAGAACATTGCAGGGTTAATTCCTGGTCAAGGTACATACCTAGGTTGAGGGTTTGATCACCTGTTGGAGGCGGAGGCAGCCAATTGATGGTTTCCTCTCTCTCTCTCTCTCTCTCTCTCTCTCTCTCTCTCTCTCTCTCTCTCTCCTTCCCTCCCTCCCTATCTCTCTCCCTCCCTCCCTCCTTTCCTCTTTATCTCTTCTTTCCTCTCTTAAAAATCAATGAAAACATTGAGTGAGGATTAAATAAATAAATAAATAATTTAAAATGTGCATAGCCACATGCAGAGTTGCAAAGAGGGAGGTGTATGACTTCTGCTACAGCAATCTCTCTAGGTAGTCATTGGGTTCCACTCTTTGGGGAAGATGTAAGGTACTTGATTATTAGGAACTTTTACCAAGGCATATATGCTGGATTTATGGACTTTAGGCTCTAATTAAAAAATCATCACTTAGTACCTGATGGGGAAGGGGTGATAGGTTTACTGAATATATTTTCATTTAAAAAGCAACATAGCATATGTCTCTCAAGTGAACTTGTAAACAATTAAATTCATTAGTTTACAAGTCAATTCTACCACAAGTCAATACACTATTCAGATGATCATTATAACACATTTTGTTTTGTTTTGTTTTGTTTTGTTTTTTTCACTTTAGGAATCCTAAAACCATTAGCCAGAAGAGCATTACAAAGTTTTGTTAGAAGGTCATGGCAGCCTGTTTAGAGATTTTCCATTATTGCACCAGACCAGCAATTTTCAACTGATGTGCCACAAAAATGTTTAAAATAAAACACCTGACTATTTAGTCAGGAGCACTGACCTCTTTTCTCTTAGATTTTCAAATACAAAAATGACAACAACCAACACAATAATAGCCATCCGGTATGAATTCCCTGTCTGGAATGGTAAATTATAGGTCATATAACAAAGTTGCATCTTATTGGTCAACTCTCATAATAAGGTTGTGTCTGTTTGGTTAATTCTTGGTACCAGAAATTCCTATATACAAGTATAGGCACCTGCTTTTTTTAAAGTAACTTTGGGACAAAAAGGGTAGACAATTACTATTATTATTTTTTACAAATCTATCAAATTATACTTATTTTTTGTCAGATTGGCAAAAACCATATATTTTGGATTGCCAAAGAATTAAGTAATTACCTTATGCCATGAGACGTACTAGTAAAAGGTTGACAATCACTGTACTAGCAATGTTTGGATAACTATTACTTTAATCAATAGGCTATTACTCTTTCAGATTTGCCTGTGAAAGACTTAGTTGAATATTCTTTCTTTTTAATATATTTTATTGATTATTTACAGTGAGGAAGAGAGAGGGATATAGAGTTAGAAACATCAATGAAAGAGAATCATCGATTAGTTGCCTCTTGCATAACCCTACTGGGGATGTGCCCGCAACCAAGGTACATGCCCTTGACTGGAACCGAACCCGGGACCCTTCAGTCTGCAGGCCGACGCTCTATCCACTGAGCCAAACCAGTTTCGGTTTAGTTGAATATTCTTTAAAGAAAATCTCAGCCCTCATTAATTATGGCTATTTCTAACTGAATTTCCAGATAACTTCATATGACTGCTAAATAGTTTACATGTAATAGTTAACCTGCAAAGGTAGTCACTTTATTGGTACCATAAGATAAACATTGGGTTTTATATGACCATATAAATCCTGACTGAATCTAAATAAAGAATTTAACAGATTAAGTTATATTTTATCATCTGTCCAAGGAGCTAAAAATGGAAGGCAAAGATGTAGTTCTCATCTTAACTATTTCAACTGTTTGTGTGGAAAAGATATGTCTTCCATTCAGAACACATATGGCTGAACATAGTTATAGAATCTTAGTGTCATACCTCTCGAATAGCAGTACAGAACTCACTCTGAAGCACTTTCTTAAGGGATTGTAGCTTGTGCACTGGGACTTCTCCGGATTCCTGTAGTTTTTCCAATAATTCAATTGCTCTGGCAACATCTGAATTAAAAAAAAATGAAGTGAAAAGATCTAGAGTAACTGTGTCTCATCAGCAAAGTACCATCATTCCAACTGAATAGCCATGACAAAAATTAAGTGGAATTAACTGCAAAATCAGAATTTACAATTCATAGCTTATTGATCTAATCTTTTGATTAAAAAGTCATTTAAATCTGTTCCACACAATTTGTCACTGAATACATTTTCTTTGATGTCATTTCATGTATAATATCTGTCACACAAATCAGTTTGAATATTCTTTCAGAAAAAGAGCAGGAAACATGTCTTATTTATTCTGATACCCCTATAACCAAATGAGTTCTGTCAATTTTCTTTCTGAGATGGTTTCTCAGTTTGACTTTTCCTTAATCACACCACATTTATCACATCTGCAGTTTTACCTTTATTAGTATAATGATTTGATTAAAATGCATCTCTTACACTTGTCTATAAATTCCTAGGTGGTAGGAATTTATCTGGTTTGGTCATCACTGCATCCCCAGAGTCTGGTATAATTCAGTGAATAAATATTTGATAATGAATGAATTAGTTGATGGCCTCTCTTCATTTTACCGCCATTGCTTTATTCCAGGCCTTTACCATCATCTCTTTTCTGTCAAACTTGAATCTTTTTTTTTCTCCTCCAGCCTCTTTATACGGTTCACAAAGTAATCTTTCTAAAATAAAAATCTGATCATGTACCCACCTATCAGCTTTTAGGACAGTACCAAGCAAAAATGTTTTAATAACAATTAATTTAAATGTTCCTCTTTCACTGAACAATATCCAAGGTTACTCTGTCAAGAAACATAGCATTTTATGGTCATAGCTTTAAAATTCCCAGGTTGGTTTTGCATTGCCAAGAGAAAATGCTATGATAAAAGGCCATTTAGTAATGCCTACCGTGGTCTCTTCTGCTTCTGTTGCTATATGTAAAAAGTCACTGAAAAGTCACTTAGGTGTTTATGTATAGAATCGAGGTTTTTCTCCCTGGTTGGCTGCTAAGTGGTTAGAGCCTCAGCCCTCAGACCAGAGGGTCATGAGTTCAATTCCCAGTCAAGGGCATGTACCGGGTTGCAGTTTGGATCCCTGGTCTCTCTCTGTCTCTCTGTGCCTCTCTCTTTCTCTCTCTTTCTGAACTCACTATCAAATGAGAATGGAATATTACAGCATAGCTACCTAAAATAAAATCATTATCACCTCAGAATTCGGGTGGGATTTTCATAGGTGTATGTATCTAACCAAAAAATTTAACCAATAAGTTATTTAAATGAAAAATTTTTCCTTGACATATTGCCAAATGGTTTGGCAATGGTCGTCCAAAGAAGTACAAATCATGAAATCAATGTGACACTGCCTTTTCAAAAGTCAACATAGTCAATTGGACAATACCAGCCACATCCACAGTCAATAAGTTACAATCTAAGAATTTTATGCATTTCTAATTGCACAAGAGTCTCTACACCTATATGTCCTCAGATAGATGAAACTATCAACCTGTTTAAAAATGAGCTTTAAAAAACAAAATCCTGGAACTAGCTCTTCTCTGCTTATACTCCATATTTCCAAACCCACCCTGTCTTCTAAGCGAGGCCATGGCATTGTCTCTCACATTCACCCCCACAAGCAGTTAGTCAGTAAGTGCTATAGATTTTATCTCAAAAATGCTTTTTGAACAGAGCCCCTCTGATTCATTACTTCAGGGAAGCCTTTGTTATTTTTTGCCAATAGTACTAAAACTAACTGTTCTTTAAATCAATCTTTTCTTTCTCAGTCCATCTCCCACACTGCTTCCAGAACGATTGTTCTGGTTGATAAACCTCATTATTCTACTCCCCCATATAAACCTCCTCTGGCTTCCTACTGCCTCCAAGATGAAGTCAAGACCACTTAGGGTTACACACAAGCCCCTTAACAACTGCCTCTTCTGACTCACCTCTAGAGACCTCCTCCTGCCCATCTTATACATGGGCCACCCAAAAGTTCTGTTATTCTAGGATCTGTCACAGAATTGCATGCTTCTATGGCTCTGTACATAGCAGCCCCTGTTCTTGGAATGTAATTTATTTATTCATCTGGGAGTGTTAGGAACTGTGCTGTGCGAACGGCACACAGTGGTAAAGGAGTCAGCCCATTGCTCTTGATTTCATGGAATTTACAAACCTGAGGGGTCATAGACATGCAATAAAGAGAGTGTGTGCTATGAAAGAATTCCTGCAAGTTAGTGCATGGACGTATAATAAAAACATTTATCCTCATCCATGAGGTCAGACCTCTTTGTGGCAGTAACAGCAGCTAAGCAGAGTCTAGGTAGGAAGTGCAGGTGGGGAAAGGGGGAAGAATGTTCCAGGAAAATAAATGCAAATTGAAGTATTGTCAAGAGAGTGTTGGGCATTCAAAGAACTGAGAGGACTTAGACATGTCTTCCCTGTTTTTCCAAGGCAGATTTAGGGGCTACCATATCTGTATTCCTACAGGTCTTTGTTCACTCATCCATTGTAATAATTTTCTCCACAATACCTGTTTGAAAAAAACAAAACAAAGCAAAACAAAAAAGATACCCTTGCAAATCTATAAGCCTCTTGAGTTATTAGGAATAATACTGTATTTGTCATTGTATCCATAGTTTAGTGCAGATTACTTAACAAATATTAGGTGTTTAGTACACATTTGTTGAATGAATGACAAATTAATAAATGAGACTGGTTCAGAAAGGCAAGGATTAGAGATTTATGTTTAGGTGGACATGTAAATTCTCATGAGACCATCCCTGTCAGCCTTGGTCTAAACTGGCTTGGAGCCAGTGTGGGGAAAGCCTGAATCTGTAGACTAAAGGGTATTAAGTAAGTACTCTTGGGGAAGTTCACAACCTGATAGTCATCAGTTTTTAACCTTGGTTGCACTCTAAAATGATCTGGAGTGCATTTAAAAATGATTAATGCCTAAGACCCACCCCAAACAAACTGAACCAGAATATTCAGAACAGTGTGTTCTCCCCTTGGCTGTAGATTGGTATCACATGAGAAGCTTTAAAAACTACAGATCCCTTGGGTACCTCTTCCCTGCCCCGGAGGGTTCTGATGTGATTGGCTCAGGGTAGAGTCTGGACATGAGGCTTTTAAAAGGCCTCCAGGTGATGCGAAGGTTCAGCCAAGGTTGAGAACCCCTGGCCTAGTTGCATGGCTATTTTTATAGCCCCGGCGTGATTCTAATGCACAGTCAGGGCTGAGAAGCTCTGGTACAGATTAATGGTTCTAAATCATGAATGTGCCCAAGAATAATCTAGGCGAACCTATTAAAATGGGTTCCTGATGCCTCAGCTCCACTTTAGAGAGATTGATTCAGGAGGTGTGAGGATGAGGCTCAACATTTTGCCTTTTAAGCAGATGCTTGGTGATTCTGAAGTTGTGGGTTCACAGATCCCATTAGCAGAGAACATAAACAAAATGAACTCTCAGCCCCAGCACTACAGGAACTCTTCTTGCATTTTCTGTTATTCTTTAATACCCTATGCTACAGGATACTGAATAGGATTCTTCCAGGAGAATAATTAAAAGCCCGTGAATAAAAGTAATTAGTGCTAGTTATCATCCATATTCGCAACCAGTATTCCTTAGCAAAGGCTGCTCATTAGAATCAGTTGTGGAATTTTTAAACCAGCCTGCTGCTCCAGACCAATTAAATAAAAATTTCTGAAAGTGGGATCTAGTCATCAGTTATTTTTTATAGCTTCCAGATGATTCCTATGACCATCCAAATTTGAAAAATATCAGTTCAAAAAGAGCCATCAAGGAAACCAGACACATCCCATTAAGACTTATTAAAAGCTGAGCCAGCCCTGCTACATTATACCATAGGCCTTTTCCAGTCCTTATAAACACATAATTGTGAGATGAAAGAAAATTCATGGGGATTTGCTAAGTCATCAACTTATATAGCATACTAGGTCTTTTGCTTCCCTTCTAGCAACAAAATGAGAAGTGTTCCACCAGAACCCACTGTAGCCATTGAGGGTGCCTGCAAGAAGGGAGACAAGGATCTCTTTCCTGGTTGCACAGGCAATGGACTTGATCTGCCTCCCTCTCTGCCCATCTGATCGGAGGCACAGAACTGAGGAGCAGCGCTCACGTGGACCTGAACCAGCTTGCTCATTCCCACCCAAGGGTTATGGGATAGGCAGCAGTTGCTAAAAGGCCAAAATAAGTCTGAAAACCAAAAGTGATGTTTAGGTCCCCCAAGCCCAGACCTGGCTGGTGCTGCAAACAAAGAGGTGGGGATGACAAGCAGGATAGGAGTTCTGATTCCCTTTAGGTCCCTAAAAGCGCCAGAAATCTGCCTGGACCTGGAAGGCAGCAAAAGAAGCCTTTGAATCAGCAAAGTACTTGTTCTTAAACGACTGCGATAAAGAGTGTGGAGTTTATTTGTGAGTTCCCTGAAGGTTCTTTTTCAGAACTTCCTTACACTTATTTTATGAAGCTATCAAATCTGGTTACTGGCATATAAGTCTGGGTTTACTAGCACAGCTCAGATTGAAAGAAATATTAGGGAGACTGATTTACAAAACAACAGAGCATGAAGTTCTCAGAAACCAAACTCCTCTTGTCTGCCAATTCTCGGGTTCATACCTCTGCCATTTATCCCATTATTTAAGCAAGATACTTAGCTATTACCCTTGACTCCTCACTCTTTCTTACACTCGGCATTCCATTAATCCTCACTTCTAAAAGCAACAACAATACACTTTTATTTAATGTCTATGAAGCAAGGGTCATTGTATGCTAAAAGCTTTACATCTTTTAACCCATTTTATCCTTAAAAACCCCATGTTATGCAATGAAAGAAAAGTGAGGTTTATAGAGAATTTAAGTATCTCAATAATAAATAGGAGATCTGGGTTTGGAATCTGAATCTAAGTGATTCAAAACCATGTGCCTTTTATTTTTATTCCAATCACAGTTTTTCTTTTAGCAGCCTTTCCCTTCAGCATTCAGTACTTTTAT